TAAAGCTAAGGTAATCAAAATAAATGCTATTGGTATAAAAAGACACAGATCAATCGAACAGAATAGAAAGCCCAGAAATAAACCCATGTATATATGGTCATTTACAAAGGAGACACAAATGTACAAAGAGGAAAGAACAGGGATCCCTGGGTGGCGCAGCGGTTTGGCGCCTGCCTTTGGCCCAGGGCGCGATCCTGGAGACCCGGGATCGAATCCCACATCAGGCTCCCGGTGCATGGAGCCTGCTTCTCCCTCTGCCTGTGTCTCTGCCTCTCTCTCTCTCTCTCTGTGACTGTCATAAATAAAAAAAAAAAAAAAAAAGAGGAAAGAACAGTCTCTTCAATACACAGCTCTAGGCAAACTGGACAACTACATGCAAAAGAATAAAAGTGAACCATTATCTTATACCATATGCAAAAAAATTAACTCGAAATGGATTAGAGACTTTAGGTAAGACCTGAAATCATAAAACTCCTAGAAGAAAACATAGACAGTAGGCGCCTTGACAACAGTTTTAGCAATATATTTTTTTTTTTTTTGGATCTAACTTCAAAGGCAAGGGAAACAAAAACAAGTAAGACTACATCAAAGTAAAATGCTTCTCCATAGTAAGGGAAAACCATCAGCAAAACAAAAAAGCAACCTACTGAATGGGAGGAGATATTTACAAATCATGTATCTGATAAAGGGTCAATATCCAAAATATATAAAGAACAGAGGCAACTCGGCAGTAACAACAACAAAACCCCAAACAATCCAATTTAAAAATTGGCAGAAGACCTGAACATTTTTCCAAAGAAGACATACAGATAGCCAACAGGCACATGAAGAGATACTCAACATCACTCATGATCATGGAAATGCAAATCACAACCACAATGAGCTATCTAGAATAACTAGTATCAAAAAGAGAAAATGTAACAATTGTTGGTGCAGACTTGAAAAGGGAACTCTTGGGTACCGTTGGTGGGAATGTAAACCGGTGTAGTTACTATGGAAGACAGCATGGAGGTCCCTCAAAAAATTAAAAATACAGCTACCATATGATTCAGCAATTCTGCTACTGAGTAGCTTGAAGAAAACAAAAACATTAATTTGAAAAGACATAGACACCCCTATGTTCACAGCAACATTATTTACAGCAGCCAAGATATGGAAACAGCCTAAGTGTTCAGCAACGGATAAACAGATAAAGCAGATGTGGTATGTACTTTTGTATTTACCTACCTACCTACGTATCTACCTATCTATGCAGCCATAAAAGGAATGAAATCCTGCCATTTATGACAAAATGGATAAACCCTGAAGGTACTATCCTAACTGATAACTCAAAGACAAATACCACATAATTTCACAGGGGCACCTGGGTGGCTCAGTCAGTTAAATGTCTGCCTTTGGCTCACGTCATGATTCTGGAGTCCTGGCATCGAGCCCCACGTCAGGCTCCCTGATCAGTGGGGAGTCTGCTTTTCCCTCTGCCCCTGCCCCTTCCCCTGCTCATGCTCGCTCTCAAGTAAATAAAATCTTTTTTTAAAAAATAAATTAAAAAATAAAATATAAACATACAAGTTAAACAAAACTAAATCTACACTCAAAGATACAAAAAACTGATTGGTGGCAATCAGAAGGAGGGTTTGGGTGAGGAGGGAGCAAAATGATTGAAAAAGATTAAGAAGTACAAACTTCCAGACACAAAAATAAATGACAGGGATATAACACATAGAGCAAGGAACACAGTCAATAATAATTGTGTTAACTTTGTAAGTTGACAGATAGTAACCAGACTAACTGTAGTGATTGTTCTGCGATGTATAAAAATGTCACATCAGTTTGTTGTACACCTGAAACTAAGAGTGCATTTCAATTATATCTGAATTTTTTTAAAAAAAATAACAGCAACACAGAGAAAAAATGAAAAAGAGGAAATTTTCTTAAATAACTCAATGCCATTATCACACCTATCAAGACTAGTAGTAACTCCTTGATACCATCTAATACCCAGTTCATTATCAAATGTCTTTGAATCAAAATGTGGTTTTAGAGTTGGTTACAAACCAAACAAGGGCCATACATACTTACGCCTCTTAAGTTTCTTTTCACCTAGAAGAACTTCCATTCCTTTTTACTCTCATACCATTAGCTTATTACAGAAACCACATCAGTTGTTTTATAAAATGTCCCACATCCTGTACTTGACTATAAAGTTGTATTATAATCAAAATTATTATTTATCCTCTGTATGTGATGTAAGTGGAAGTAGCTTTAGAGACTCGGGTTTCACTTTTTTGATACAAATACTTCACTGGATATCACTACGTACTTTGTCACATCAATCATGTCTGCCTTTTTCTACTTTTCATGATCAGAGGGTTCTGATGGTAACAACCTGAGCACTCTATCAACCTCTCATCTAAAACTTTTGACCATCCCCACCTGAACCATCCCCATCAATTATCTCATGAGGGGCTGCGAGTGGTGTTTTTCAAAATCCATCAGTCCAAGCACATTTATTAACTGGAATTCTTCCCTCTCATCAACTAAGCTCCCGCCCCCCACCCCCCACCAAACCCCAACCTTTAACTCTTGGACAGGAAAAGCAATACTTCCCTTTGAATACTTCCCTTTTACTTCTAATTTTCAGAGGAAGGAGCTGGTGTCTTTGTTAGCTTACTTCTAACTACATTAGAACTAAAATACATATTTTTTATGAAACAGTTAAACAAAAGGAAAAATAAGAGATCTATAAGCAATCCAACTAATTTTAAAGAGTTAACCAGCGACTTCAGATTTATCCAGGGATATAAAAGTCCAAAAATCTAGGACAACCACAAGACTCTCAAAGGAAAAAGAGTATCTGGTTAAATTGTTGTTCCTTTGATAAATCTACAAAAGACCTGTCCAGAGCTTTGGTGTCTTTGCAAAATGACCACCTTTATCCCAATCATGACTTGAAGGCAAACCTCAAGCTGAGATCTTTTTAAAAGCTATACTTAAATGAGCTGACTAAATAGTAAAGTTTCCTGTGAACACCACAAATTAATCGGAATACCCTGAGATATAGTGAATCTGACATGTGCCCCATGACAACAGTCTCTTCTGCTTAGCTGGCATTTCTGCATCCTCATCTTCCTACATGCATAATAAGGGCTCTTACACCAAAGACAATAAATCCATAGCCATGGAACTATGCCCTGGTTAGACAAGCTAATCTGTTCAAATCCTTGGGAATTTGAACTGAAAATAAGGAAAACCTTGGGCAGTTTATAGTGGATAGAAAGAAGAGGCATGGACTATGGGTGAGCCATACTAATGGCAGAGGACCAAGGTAAAGATCCTAAACTCTCCCAATGAGTTCTTGAGTTATCGTGAATCCAGAGCTCCTTTCCTGCTCTGGTTTCCAGGTCTGTCCTATGATAGCTCCAGATGTCCTTGTTACTCTGTTCTCCTTACGTTCCACAGATATCTGCATTTGTTTGCTAGGGCTGCCATAACAAAGTACCACAGACTGGGTGGCTTAAAAACAAATTTACTTTCTCACGGTTCTAGAGGTGAGAAGTCTGAAATCAGGTGTCAACATGGTTGGATCCCCTAAATGACATTCCAAGCTTCCTTGGCTTGCAGATAGCCATATTCCCCCTTTGTACATATCTGTGTCCAAATTTCCCCTTTGCAAAAGGACATCAATCATATTGGATTAAGGCCCACCCTAATGACCTCATTTTACCTTAATTACTTCTTTAAAGACACTATCTCCAATGGTCGTAATCTGAAGTACAAGGGGTTAGGACTTTAATGTATGAATTCTGGGGGATACACATTTCAGTCCATAACTTTATCTTGAAAATGATCCCCTCTTTGCTTAAGCTAGTCTTGTTGGTAACTGAATAAACCTAATAATAGCTATATTTTCTGGTCTTCTATTATTTAATTATTCGTGTGTTTCTTTCAAAGCTCCCAGTAGTTTGAGCTGTAAGAGAGTAGTAACATGCTTTAACAGTTCAGTGAATTCTATGTCCACAGACCTAGTACCCTGCAAACAACTGGTACCAAAAACATAAAGGGCACAGAGAATTCTATAGAAGATGCTGTGCTGTGGCACCCAAGATCTTCCCTTTCAGGACTGAAGTATTCATTCTGCTTACAACCAGGAATGTTGGCTGCTCTTAGTTCACAGCTAAGTCCGATCCCAAGATTTGTCAACAGTCACTTCACCCAAGATAATGCCCATTCCTTGCAGGCAGCCTACACCTAATCATGCAGAAGTCCAAAGGCCCAGCCTTCTTGTCTCCATTTAGGAGATCTCTGAAGAGCCACCTCAGCTCCAGAGCAGCTTGTGGGATTGGCTGTGGCCCCACATGCAAATGAATTCAGTTCAACTCTCCCTCTGCCCAATCCTGCTTCCACCCCCACCCCCACCAAAGCATTGATGCTGAGACTACTCTCCAATAAACTTCTGGTACACAAATTTCTTTATCTATTTCCCAGAAAATCTGACTTGCCCTATATTCTATGGCTAACACTATTAACAAAGATGAAAACAAAAAAAATCAGGAAAAATTAGCCAGTTACTAGGTTAATTTCCTCTTTTCCATTTCTTGCTTTTGAAGAATCCTGTTCATCTTCTACTTCCTTGCTAGAGAAAGGGCCCTGTTCTTTCCAATCCCCTCTAACCTGCCCTGTGCAGACAGCTACTGCATAATCCCCCCTCCCATCCTCTAATCCCCAAGCAGGAACCCCAGACATCCTGTTTTCCCTGAACAGTAGGGGGAGCCTCAGGCTCCAGCTCCTCCCCCTGGGTCCTGCCACTGCATTTCTGAAGTCTGGCCCCTTCAGTGCCTGGTCCTGTGGTGAAAAACCAAAGGAGAGGAGGGGGTGAACCAGAGGAATCCATCCAGGAGGAGAAGCTGGTCCTGTCGGCCTTCTCTGGCTGCTCCCCAGCCGGCCTCTCCTTGGAAGCCTGAGTTCAGGAAACAAGAAGTACTGATTCTGAGGACCAAGACATGGGCCCTGCAGGCAGTGCCTTCCTACTGTCTCTTCTACTGGGTGAGCCTCTGGGGTAGGAGGGTAGGGGAAGAGGCAGAGGTTTTTGGCTGAAGAAGTTATCATATAGAATAATGTAACACTTCACCTATGGGACATTACTTATGAATAGTGTGTCCTGGGGAAGTCCTGTATGGGGATACTGTATGTGAAACAGTAAACAAAAAAAAAAAAAACCTGCCCTCAGGGGGGCTTATAATCACTGCACTTATTAAATATATAGATTTTTAAAGCAGGTTAGAAAGTCCTAAATGTTATGAGAGAAAAGGGGCAGGAGATGTATTGTAATTTTAAATAAAGTAGTCAAGGAAGTTTCACTAAGGAGTCATCTGAGCAAAGCCCAAAAGGAGGTAAGTGACTTAGCTACAAAGATCTAGGAAAAGAGTGTTTCAAGCTAAGAGAACTGAAAGTATAAATACTGTAGAGTGATTTCAGGTATAAGCTTGTTCATTTACTTTTCTGACCCACAATGATTTAAAAGCAGGGTAGGCTGAGAGCAGCAAAAGGATAACAAGTTCAAAAAAGATACAAATACTGCAAAATGCCAATTCAGATAAAGAAAACAGCTCATAAACCTCAAAAGTACCTGAAGGCATCACTGTGTTTACAACCTAATATACTTGATATTCCTGATGACAATACTGAATCTTTAAGTGAAAATTAAATTACACTCCATGTATGCTGCTAAAGAAGGCAGGTAAGTATGTAATTTTCAAGATTCCCACTAACTGGTAGACATTTATAAAAATTTGGCCTGTAATACAAATCTGAGAAATTTAAATATGTGGAAAGCCTCTCTATTCAGTGAATCTAGACATAAGATGCATTATTGTATAGTAATGATATGGTGTCTGTCTTAGGGTCTTGCCCAAGCTCTTCTCCCAGAAACAAACATCTGCAATCAGGTTAGTGGTCTCCACCTGGACCAATGGGTTTGGAACTGGGATAGGAGGGAGGATGGAGGATGGAGAGGACTCGGTTCCTAGGAATGCATGGGAATTTGAGAATGATGAGAAGATGAGGACCAGAGGAACAGGACACCAAGAGTTATACATGCCCCTCTCTCTTCTTTCTCTAGTGTGTGGACGACCTGTATACTCAGGCCGTGTGGTGGGTGGCCAGGATGCTGTTGCAGGGCGCTGGCCTTGGCAAGTCAGCTTGCACTTTGGCCAGACCCAGGTCTGTGGAGGGTCTCTCATCAGTGACAGGTGGATACTGACAGCAGCACACTGCTTAAATGGGTGAGTTCTAGCTGGTGGCTAGCACACAGATAGGTTCTCAGTAAATACTTGAATGATTTCAGGAATGAACCAACAGAAAAATGAAAGTGGTAAGGAGGGTCAGGGCGCCTGGGGTGGCTAAATCAGTTAAGCATCTGACTCTTGATTTATACTGCTCAGGTCATGATCATGAGACTGAGGCCTGCCTTGGCCTCCATGCTCAGAATAGAGTCTGCTTGAAATTCTTTCTCTCCCTCTGCTCTTTCTCTCCCTCCATGCTCTCTCTCTCTAGAATAAATGAGTAAATAAAATCTTTTTAAAAAGAAAAGTGGTAAGAGAGGTAGGCAGAAAAAAACCCTACACCCCCTTGGACTAGGACAGGACGCAGAGGTAGAAAAAGAAATGACAGAGATAGGCGCTATATTAGAAACTTCTCTTACTTTGTGCCAAATGATTTGCTAAACATCGCCAGGGAATTTGATCTTAAGCTTTTCTGGATCAGAAACACAATCTAAGCTCTCTCTCAGAGCTACTGCTGTCAGACAAGCAACGTGCCATGTGGTGGGTAGTCCTAAAGAGAAGCCCATATGAAACTAATGTCTCCAGCCAACAGCTAGGGAAGGTTTGGAAACACCCTCCCGGAGTCAAATCTTGAAGTCACTGCAGCCCAACTTGATTGTAGCTTCGTGAGAGATGAATCAGAGGCACCCAATTAAGGTCATGCCTGATACCTGACCCACAGAAACTGTGAGATAAATGTTTGTTTTTTTAAGCCTCTAAGCTTTGTGGTAACTTCTTATGCAACCACAGGTAACCAATATATATAGAAATCAAAACAGCAGGACTTTTCAATAACAATGCCGTAAGCTCAAAGAAAACAGTAAGAACTCCAAAATACTGGGAGAAAATTATTCTATTATTCCCACGTGCAATTATTGATCAAGTGTGGGATAGAAGCAAGACACCTTAAAAAATACAAAGCAACAAAAATAATACTCATGCACATTTTCTCGGGAAGCCATAAGAGAATGGGCTTCACTAAAATAAAGGAAAACAAGAAAACATGGAATCAAGAAAAAAGGGGATATAACAGAATCCCCAAGCAAATGGGAGAAACAAAACTCCGGCCATAAGCATGTAAGAGGAGACTACAAAGACAGGAGACAAAAGAAAGAGTGGTTAGGGAGAGAGGAAAGGAGAAATGGTAACAAACCAACAACCCTAGCCCCAGTTGGAAGTAGCTTGGTTAATTCTAGGTCTGTTGCCATCCTTTCTTGCTTAGAGATTCAGTGCTACACATAGGCAGCTTGTTCTCACCCAGCTGTAGCACCTAAACATGTTCCACTTTTTTTTTCTCCCCTTCCTATTCCCCTTAGGAGCTGGATTCCTTTTTTATATACTGTACGGCTGGGATCGATTAAGAATGATCAATCAGGTCAAAGTGTGAATCATCGTGTGTTCAAAATTATCACCCATCCCCAAATTCAACACACATCTGCAGACATTGCCTTGCTGAAACTGGTCTCTAGAGTCACCTTTACTTCCTTCATCCTGCCCATCTGCCTGCCCAGTATCACAAAGCAGTTGAAAATTCCAGCCTCTTGCTGGGTGACTGGATGGGGAACTGTTAAGGAAAGTGAAGGTGAGAATGGGTAGACAAAGGGGTATTATCCATCATCCTCTTTGTAGCACTCCAGAACGTTTGCATTCTAGGCATACGATTACTATGGCAAATATTTTTAAATAAACCCCAGCCTATTGATATTACCTATAAGCTATCTATAAGCTATAACCTATCAATTCTATGTAAATAAAATGTCTTTTTTCACACTTATGTTTATTGTATTCACTCATATCCTGCCTAGAGTCTAGACAAGAGCAGACACTAACAACTTGAACACATAATTACTTCTCTGAAAGCAAAGGTTAACAAATCTGATCTAAAGTCTGGAAGAATCTAGTGTTTTTGAAAATCTGTTTTTAGGGCAGCCCGGGTGGCTCAGCGGTTTAGCACCGCCTTCAGCCCAGGACGTGACCCTGGGGACCCAGAATCGAGTCCCACATCGGGGTCCCTGAGAGGAGCCTGCTTCTCCCTTTGCCTGTCTCTGCCTCTTTCTCTCTCTCTCTCATGAATAAATAAATTTTTAAAAAATCTAAAAAAAAGGAAAGAAAAGAAAATCTGTTTTTAAAGTGTTGCATCAACTCTTTCCCCAGAGGAATAAAGGCAAGACAAGAAATGATCTGGAAGCAGAAAAATAGGAAAGGAAGAAGTTTTAGAGTACTTCAAATACATCTTTACTGAATCAAACTGTATCAGAATTTCTATTTATTTAGAACATTAGAATACCCACACTGGCACATTAGAAATACCTTAAAACAAATAGAAAAAATTCTGTATTAGAATAGTCTAATATTGTATTAGACTAACTGTACCAAAATAAACAAAAAAAAACTTGCATTAGTAAATACGATTTGAAAGTGACTGTATTCTGCTTTCTGCTTTTGGATTCCCAGAGATTTCTGCAAATCATGACTGAATGCTGCCCTTGCAACTTTCCAGAAAGCTTCTCCTTTCATTCTTGTCTGTCTTTACAGATAGTGATTACCCCTCCCTCCTCCAGGAAGCAGAAATACCCATCTTTAACCACCAGGCCTGTGAAAAATTCTACAACCCAATTGGTTCCGCACTGCCAGAATTAGAGTCAGTCATCCAAGACGACGAGATATGTGCTGGTGATATACCCAATAAGAAGGACAGCTGCAAGGTTAGGGTTTGCCCTTGAGTTTGTTTGGTTTGTTTTTTAATATGAAACTTTAATTTAGATTCGGGTTTTCTTGTATATAAACAATAGTAGTAGATCAGGAATCAGGAGACAAAAGTTCTGACAATAATTCTTGCGTCATGCTCAATTGCTGATGACTTAAAGCTCTTCAACTTTTGATCTAGAGAAATGCTAACCATTGGTTACTGGGTTTTCCACAGACTTGTATATTTTTATAAATATATTAAGAGGTTAACACAGAATTTCCAACTTTATTTTTTCAAGTAAGAACATTTCACTCTATACGTACAAGATGTCATTCCACTGCCTGCTGATCATAACCGTCCAGTGAAAAATCATTCATCATTTTGTCTTCCTTCACTGATTATATGTTGTTTTACTCCAGCTATTTTCAATATAACGACTTTCATATTTGATTATCAGAAGTTTGAATGTGATGGGGCACCTGGTAGCTCAGTAAGTTGAGCTCTGACTCTTGGTTTCAGCTCAGGTCATGATCTCAGGGTGATGGGACAGGCTCTGTCCTCGGTGGGGAGTAGTCAGCTTGGGATTCTTCCTCTCCCTCTGCCCCACCCCACCCCCCTTCTCTCTCTCTCTCTCTCTCTCTCTCTCTCTCTCGCTCTCGCTCTAAAATAAATGAATAAATCTTTAAAAAGAAAAAATTTTGGATCCCTGGGTGGTTCAGCAGTTTAGTGCCTGCCTTCGGCCCAGGGCGTGATCCTGGAGACCCAGGATCAAGTCCCACATCGGGCTCCCTACACGGAGCCTGCTTCTCCCTCTGCCTGTGTCTCTCTGCCTCTTTCTCTGTCTCTCTCTCTCTCTCTCTCTCTCATGAATAAGTAAAATCTTAAAAAAAAATTTGAATGCAATGTGCTAGGTGTGATTTTCTTTGTATTTATCCTATTTAGGATTCACTGATTTTTTTTAAAAAAAATCTGTTCATCTTTAATCAAAACTTGAGAAGTTTTTCATTCATGATTTCTTCAAATATTCTGCTTCCTCTCTCTTCCTCTTCGGGTTGAAACGGAAAATGTAGGTCACACTTTTTGATATTTTCACACAGTCTCTAATAATGTTTTATTTTTACCTGTCTGCTCTTCAAATTGGATACTTATAGATTAATCAATATTTAAGATCCTTGCCTCTCTCCTGCCATCTACATTGTAGTGTTAAGTTCACCAAATGACAGTTTTCTATCACATATTTTATTTTTTAGTCCTAGAATGACCACTTGGTTTTATTTCCTTTCCTTCTCTCCCTTTCATTCTCTCCTTCCCCCTTCTTCCTTCACTCTCTTCTCTCTCTCACACACACACAAACTTTTCTCTAACTCTGCCATGATGTCCTATCTGTATATTCATTATTTGCAAATCAAACAACAATGGAACATGATTTCACACCCACCAGGATGGCTATTATCAAGGGAGATAATAACTAGGGTTGATGAGGATGTGGATAAATTGAAACCTTCATATACCTACTGGAAATGAAAAATGGTACAGTTGCTTTGGAATTATTATCTAGCAATTCTTCAAAGGGTATATAGAGAGTTACCATATTACCCAGGAATTCCACTCTAGGTATACACCCAAGAGAAATAAAAATATGTCCAAAGAAAAAATTATGCATTAATATTCATAGCAGCATTATTCATAATAGCCAAAAAGTGAAAATAATCCAAATGCCCACCAACTGATGACTAGATAAGCAAAATGTGGTATATCTATGTAATAGAATAACATTCAGCCATAAAAAGAAATGGAGCATGGATATATGCTACAAGGATGAACCTTGAAAAGAGTATGCTAAGTGAAAGCCAGACACAAAAGATCATATGTCATATGGTTCCATTTATATACAGTATGTCCAGAATACGCAAATCCATTGAGGCAGAAAGCAGATTACCAGTTGGCCTAGGGCTAAGAGGAAATGATGGTAACTGTTAATGGGTATACGGTTTCTTCTACAACAGGTGATGAAAATTTGGTGATGGTTGAATGACATTATGAATATACGAAAAACCACTGAATTGTACACTTTAGATGGGTGAATTGTATAGTATATGAATTATATCTCAATAAAATTGTTAGAAAAAGAGACAGCAAGATTGAAAGACATATCAATTACTGTCACTATTACTTTACATAACAGGATTATTTTAACATTTAAAAAAGTCAGTAAGAACCTAAGAATAGAAAAATAAGGACACTTCGTTCAACTCAAATAAATTTACCTTTAAGGGAAAAAAAATCATCACATTAATTTTTTTATCACAGATGAGTATTTTGAAACTACTGATATATTTAGCTAAGGTCTCTGCCAATTTCAAATTATTTAATTCTAGAATTCCCATGATCTTCCCCTAATGCAATAAGAAGTCTAGCTCACTATCCCATCCTAAGGACCTCTTCACCTCTTATGACCACTTTCTTCTTCAAGGTCCTTTTTCACTACACTCATGACCTTTATCTTTCCTCAGGGTGATTCTGGAGGACCTTTGTCATGTCATATTAATGGTGTATGGATCCAGATAGGACTGGTAAGCTGGGGAATAGGCTGTGCTGAAAGTCTCCCTGGAGTCTACACCAGTGTGATCTACTATCAAAAATGGATTAAGACCACTATCTCAAGAGCTGAGGTTTTGGGTACCAAAAATCTGGACTTAACTGAATTCCTGTACCTTACTGTTCTGCTCTCTCTGGCTGTCCTGGGACCCTACTGTGCCTTTGGGCCTAACATTTTACCAGGAGAATAGATAGTATAGCTAAAGCCACTGGCCAAGTTCAGGGTTAGGGTGGGAATACATAGAGATTAAGCCCCAGGAGCAGAGAACGCACAGGAGAGTCACTGGGAACTCTGGATTACTTTATTAATTAGAAATGATTTTGTTTTTGAGGTTCTTTATTCTGAAAGTATGTTTTAGTGGTTCAAATGTGAATAGCTGAGAAATAAGGCTGCTGCTTCTGTGCATAGCATTCTTTGTCCCTAACTATGAATCTTGCAAGGCAAGAAAGGTACCTTCTATGAATAAGTATGTATGAACACAATAAAATGGCTACTGGAGAAGCAGGGAAGAAAAGGAATATCTGTGAAGGCAAAGGGAAAGTCCTCAAGGAAATATATTAAGAGTTTACTCATAGGGCCCATGGTTTGCATTATGGGCTTCTTACCTGGTCTATATATTCCTACAATGCCTCATAGCAAGGAGTCAAATAAAAAATGCATATATATAATTCAGCTCTGTATTTTTCTGAAATTTTTACTTTTTGAAATACCAATGTGACCTATGACCGAAAAATGGATTAATGCCATGATCTCAAGAGCTGTAGTCTTGGGTTTCAATAACCTGGACCTGTCCAGAATGTTTAATGCTACCTCAAAAATAGGGTACTGAAATGTTTAATAAGGACAGGACTAAAATGTTTAATAAGGACAGGACTAAATAATGCTTAACTAGCGTGCTTCTTTTTGTTAATCCATCCCATGACCTACTATTTCCTACTTTACCTAGGCTTCCAGGAGCTCAGAGCTAAGTTATACATTCAATTTCGGTCATTACCTTTATCCTAGATATCTAGTATAATTCCATTCACATTCCTTTTTATTTAAATCATCCTTCATTTCTCTACTTGAAAGAACTTAAGTTTTATTGAATCTGTGTCTTTCATGGTAAGTCAACTTTCAAAAATTTTTTTGGATAAACAAATACCTTTAATAGGAAATGAGCGTAGGTTTGGAAACTTAAAACCTTTGTCAACCATTAACCCCATCTCTCTTCTGGGTTTGCCATTACAGCCACCACTGCCACTAAAGCCCACGTCCTTTCCCTCACTTACACCTGTGCTCAACTCCATTTATTATCCACAGCATACAGACCAGTATTTTAAAAATAAAAGATTTTTTCATACTTTTCTCCCTCCATTCTTCCTGCTTACAGCACTTCAAAGACATCTCACACTGCTCATGGGATAAAGACCAAAGTCTTTATGAGGGCTTACAAAGCCCTGCAGGTTCTGACCCCTATCTACTTCTTCAGCCTCACTGCACCCTGTTCTCCATGCTTTCAATTCTTCAAATGTTCCAAATCCCTTCTCAGCGCCAAACTTTTGCATTTGCTATTCCTTCTCCCCTACTGCTTTTGCCTAGTTAATTCTTACTGTGCCTCAAATCTCCACTCACTTTTTACTTCCTCAAGGAAGCCGTCCTCAACTCTCCCGATCAGAACAAATCTCCCAATATATATTTTTGTAGGCCTTATGGAGCCCTCCTTCATAGGACTCAGCACAGCTATATTATTCGTTTGCGTAATTGTCTAGTTAATGTATGTCTTCCCAAAATGTAAGAGTTTTTGTGCCAACCACTGTATCCTACTTTCAATAATACTTGTTGAGCAAATGAATGAATAACAACCAACTTCTTTGTCTCCCCAACTAAGAACCTGGGTATTTTGTGTCAGATTCTGGGCTACCTCCATTAACAATGTCTTATACAAAGTAGACTTTCGAATATAAGTTAAATAAAAGAATGAAAGAGTGTTTCAGTCTCATTCTCTACAGTCATAACAAAGGAGAGAAAAGAGCATGTAAAACAGGTAAATTGGAAAGTTTCTGGAAGCAAGAATTTAAGCTAGGCAACTGCTGGAACGACATAGTGGGAAAAGCAAAATGGCAACTGAGAAAAAAGAATGAGAGAGAAAAAAGAGGCAAGAAGGAAAATAGAGGGGGAATCCCTGGGTGGCTCCGCGGTTTGGCGCCTGCCTTTGGCTCAGGGCGTGATCCTGGAGTCCCGGATCGAGTCCCACATCGGGTTCCCTGCATGGAGCCTGCTTCTCCCTCTGCCTGTGTCTCTGCCTCTCTCTCTCTCTTTCATGAATAAATAAATAAAATCTTTAAAAAAAAAAAAGGAAAATAGAGGAGAAAGGACAGACTAAAATCAAAATTAAAATAGAAACAAAAAGGAAGAGAAAGTACAAAAAAGTATGAGCCAGGACAAGACACAAGAAAGCCAAAATACTGCTTTCTGTCATTTCTCCAGACTCTTAGGAAGCACCTGTTCTGCAGCATGGGATCTGGCAAAATTTTTCTCATGAACCAAGAAGTGAAACTTAGAACTTTTGGAGGGACCAGACCATTGAAGGCGAATGAAAAGGGTACTGAAAGAAGACGACCACATGACCTCACTGTCCTGACCACTATTAGTTGGATGTACTAGGAATAAGCACCCAATGTAACAGCTGCCCAGAGGTGATGAGGCAGTTGGCCTAAAATCTTACCTGACAGATATACTCAATATGAACAACCCAACAGATCCCTTCTGGGAAGTGTGAATATGCATCATATATAGCATTCAGCATGTGCTCAACAGTATTAAGTGCCCACTGTGTTCTAGGCACTGAGGATACTACAGGACATTCAAAACATTGAGCCTGCCTTCAACGAGTTTACATTCCAGTGGGGTAGAGGCACAATAATCAAATACAAAATAAATGTTTATTATGATGTCATGTATAGGAAAGTCTGATAAAAATAAAAGAGAAGAAGCAGACAGAGTATCAAGGTGGGGGATTCCATTTTAGATAGGGTGGTCAGGGAAATTTCTCTAAGAAGATGACATTATATAGAGGCTTGCATAAAGGAAGATATTAAAAAAAAAAAACTGAGAAAGAATACTCCAGGTGGAGTAAATAGCAAGTACAAAGGTTCTGAGTTGGAAGTATGTTAGGTATGTGTGCGAGGAAGAACAAAGACGTCAGTGCAATGCTAGAACACTCAGAGCAAAGAGGGAGAAGGGTATGAACTGAGATCAGAGAGGGTGCCCTGCCTGTAGGGCAGGTCCTACAGAGCCCGGAAGGCCCCAGTACGGACTCTGGATTTTATTCTCAGTGCAATGAGAAGGCACTGGAGGGCTAAGAGCAGGGGAGTGATGAAAGGATAGAACAGAGAATCCCATACCATATCTCATGGGAGTACACAGAGGCCATAAGGGGGTTAGAATGATAGAGGGTAGTCAGATGGCAGCAGAGTTAGACAAGCAGCAGAGAGAATAAGAATCTGATACCAATGTACTAATGAGCAAAAACACAGGGGCTATATACAGTAACCTGGAACATCAGTGAGGAAGGTGTGATTCCATAAGGCTGTGTGTTGTCTACCCTACTTCCCATCTGCACTACTCTTGGAATAGGGCCCCACTAACCAAGGTGAAGAAAAGCACAAGCCCAGGTTTCTTACCATCTACTTTATAATTCATCAAGACACCTACCTGATTTCCTATTTTCTTTCTTTCTTCTTACCCAGACCAATGTTCTTATTCCTTCATGCCACTTCTACTTCCAGGCCTTATTTTATCTGCCCTCTCTTCCTGAAATATCCTTCTCTCATAAACCTCAACCCACGTATTTCTATTTACTAAGAAAAAGAGATAGTGAATATCTAAAAAGCAGATTGAAAGGATCCTAGGAAATGCTTTTAAAAATTAACAGGAAAGAGACGTGTGGGTGGCTCAGTGGTTGAGCATTCACCTTCAGCTCAGGGCATGATCCTGGGATCCTGGGATCAAGTCCTGCATCGGGCTCCTCGTGGAGATCCTGCTTCTCCCTCTGCCTATGTCTCTCTTTGTCTCTCATGAATAAATACAATCTTTTTCCAAAAAAATTTTTTTAAGTTAACAGGAAATGAGTGAACTATATACACCCTATAGTGTATAGCCCTATGAATTCTATCTCAATAAAGCCATTTTTAAAAAATGAACAGGGAAATGTTTGCCCTATTTAAATTAAGCAAAAATGACTCGTCTATAATGTATTTAGGACTCTCTAATCTTCTAAATAATTCTTCTGACTGTATTTCAAAAAAAGGTTCAAACTAATGACAGACATTTTCTATTTCAAATGCTAACACACAAAATGTAAAGCTTAACCCAATATATGATATAGCACCTGGTACACATTACCAAGGAGGGGAAAAAAATCAATAAATGTTTGCATTCACACAACCAAAATGTCAAGTACTTATTGGTAACAAATTTAGTCAATGACACCACAAACGACCAAATGGAGAAGAAATAAATAGGGACATCTTTACACACTATTTGGGGGGGGGGGGGGCTCAGCAGCATTTCTGCTTTAAAAGTCAATTTTAATTTGTAAAATACTTTATTCCTTGGAATGTCTAATTTAATATGCTCCAATTTTCACTTTCACATCTTGAGAAATTTAACTAAGGTGGGATTTGCTAAGGTAACATTTAACAAATAAAGCTGTACACTAAGGCTGCTGAAAATCCAATCAGCAATTTTCTTCTCCTAAAAGTGGGGGAAATATTATATAGCTATTTCCAAATCTTCTATTAATATAACAAATGGATTATTTCAAGTAATCACTTATTTTCCCCTATTTCACTAAATTGTAGTCACCCCAAAAATGTGGGGACATTATGGAAAAAGAATTCAAAATGATAAAAGGTGGAGGTTTGTTTTTTCATGCTATTTCAACAGTGGCTATTTTCTTTTCAGATTCTTGACTTCACTCTGAAGCTATTAACTATTCTCCTCACCACATCTGACTGTATAGTTCATTTACATACTAGAAATCAGCTACCTGAAAATTTTATTAAACATATTCCTTCTTTAGGAAAGGGAGGAAAAGGAGTCACTCAAAATAACCAGAGGTTAGATTAATTATATTCTCTACTATCAACATTAAGAGAAAATGTTCACTATCTTAAGAATAAAAAAGACTGAAATAATTAATAGGAA